TTTTCGCAAAAAGGCGCAATTACAAATTTGCTAATATTTGTTATTTATTAACTCAATACAGTTTTATCTTTTAGATTTAGTCAAAAAATATTTTTTTTTGTGCACGGATACTGATTTTGGTGTGTTTTAACAATTGAATTGTGTATTTTTATCGGTTTAATATTAATTTGAGAAACATTTGCGCAATTATCGCAGGGCCTACAAATTTAGTATCACCATCTTTTTATTCTACCGGGCCTGCGCTTTCAGAAAATATATGGTTTGGGGGGTCTTTTACAAACGCTAGCAACGCAGCAGTTGAAAATCAATTCAATAGGGAAAAATTGCAGAAAATTCAAAAATGGCTTGGCCAGCTGATTTGAAAAATGTTCCGGAGGGCTTGGCAGCGAAAGGGTTAAGGGATTTGTAGTTTCAGCACAGCTGGAGAGCCAAGGTTGCCTACCCCTGACCTATACAATAACTACTTAAGTATGGCAAACTGGTACACCTACATGCCATCCAAACAGCCACCTAACTCTCCTGCACCATCATGTATAGTCAATTTTAAGGAGGAGGATCTGCATGTAGATATTTCAAGCATCTAAGTATTAGAGGTACAATTCATTCTAAAATGCAGAGAAAACTTTGAGATGCAAATAGAGGACACCACCTGCTAGCTAAATTCTTCAGTTTTTTATCCAGGTATCGCAGTACTGCATCAGTCCTCCGCAGTCCCTTTTGTCAGAGAGGTGATGATGCTAGAAAGTACTCTTTGTTGTGTGTGACACACAGAAAGCTTGATCTTAATACTAAGAGATGTCTCCCAGCTTCAGTTAGAATTCAGGCCTACCTTAGAAGTTTGAAAGTTTCAAAGTACATTCCTACTGACCATTGAAGGAGCTGTGTTTGCTTAATCTGTAAGGCGTTACATTGAAGTAGGGCTGCAGCTACCGATTATTTTCATAATCGATTAGTTGCCCGATAATTTTTTCGAATTGGTTGTATTTTGTACAAAAAAACTATTTTCTCTCTCTCTCTTTCCCCACTCTCTCCCTCCCATCTCTCTCCCCCCCAACAAATACAAATTTAGAGACCCTTTTGTGTTTTTTAAAGAGGCAGCTTAGGCACTGTGTAAAGAAAACCTGTCATTTTAGAAATACGAAGGCTGTCCTCTCCTTTTGAAAATGTTAGTTGCCTGGCTGTTATGCTGAACCAATGTCAAGTATGCCGATAAGGACTTCTGATGTTACTCTGGCTATTGGGTTTCAGAAGGAGATCGGCAGTGCCCATACTTTTCCAATGACAGGTGTATTTGAACAGGACAATAAGATTCAAAGGTCAGCCCTTGAGTATATAATCACGTTGTCCTGGCTGCTTTCCAGCAACCTATCAATGTGTTTTGGATGTAGTATAGCAGTTCCTTATTGTAGTTATCTTGTAGTTAATTAGGGGGTTTTTTTTTAGTCGTCATACAATACTTTTTTGAAATAGTTACCGTAATTGGGAAACATAGCATACCTTTGGGCAGGGCCTATACCTGAGATGTTTACTGTGTCTTCCAGTGAACACTTGGAAAAAGTTGGGTTTTAATGTTCACCATAAAAGCCTTTCTCAAGGTCTCTCTGAGGTATAAGGGAAAATGTAAAGAGGTGCTTTTTGCCTTGATAGTGAAATGTTGCACCAAAATAACAAAAATAATTGTCTAGTTTTCCACATACGTAGTAAGGATTACAGGTTGCAACACATTTTGGTGCTCATTTGCTAATGATGTACAGTATATATCGAGCAATAATTTCAATTTTCCATCACACACAAATTTGGTACAACAATCACAACTGAAAATTTGCCACCATGAAGAATTTTTATATTTCTAGAATGCTTCTGCTGTGACTGTCATACATACACTATGCAGTAAAGACATATCGCTGTCCTCTGTCTTTGTATGGAAGATAATATCATTACACCCAAGATGATTTGTGTGTTGCAGTTATTCCTCTTTGCTTCCTGATGAAAACTTTGCAATGCTGGATCTGTGTCATTCCCTCCACACTACCCAAATCACTGTAGTCACTACTTCACCTGAGGGTTCTCTATTAGAATGAAGTCAGATATCTGGGTTGTCTTCTTTTTGTAAAATGTCCTCTAGAGTAAAAGTAGTTTGTAGTTTGATATGCTTTGTCAGTTTCTTTATTCACTGTTGATTTTTGTTTCCCCCCCTCAGTGACTACTAGCCCACCGAAGACCTTGTATGTCATGTCGGATGCCAAGCTTTCTGCACTCACCAAATCTGTTGGCAGCGACATAGCATCTTTACCACTGAAGCAAATGACCTTGCAGAGTTCATCTGCCGTCGCCCCTGGAGCAGTGACGTTTACAACAGCACTAGCCAACACACCAAACACTGCCTGTACGGTGGTGCTGTCTAAGATCGGTCCGGTTCTGCAAACTACCCCAAAAACTGTTATCTTAACAAAGACTGCTTCAAGTGACAAGTCATTGGGAAATCATATGATAGCTTCTGTGGAAAGCCTGGGCAGAGTGCCCTCTGTGGTTGATGATGGCAGCACAATAATTCATAGCCGAGAGTCGCTGGTGAACAGGCAGCTTTTGCAGCCTGCTCTGATAGCACTGTCTGGCACTAGCAATATGGTGCAAAGCATGATAACACCTGCCAGTCAAAAACCACAGTGAGTCTGGTACTAAACATACACTTCTAACGGAAAATGACATGTTGTAAATGTCCTCCAAATACTCCTGGTTGGCCCAGGTAAAACTACAGCAGAAGAAAGGTCGAGGAGGAATTGTCCGTATGGTTTTAGAAAGGATGAATAGATGATATGTTGGGAAGCGTAACAAACGTAGAGCAGAAAATAACATGCAGACAAGCACAATAAACGTATTTTGGGTAGTTCTAAGACCAGCAAGACATGACATGTTTTAAAAACAAAGAACATGTACTTGGAGTGGCTAAGCAAATGTTATGAGCCACTAAAGTTTGCCTGCCACCTTCTAATGGTAGATGAATTCATTATGTTTACACATATACAACCTACCCGTTTCCTAGGACCTAAAGATATTATTGCAGCCAGGCAGAGACACAAAGTGCTTCATACCACAGTAATGTGATACTTTTGTGGAAATTTGGTTGAATCTGAGATCACTCTTCAGGTTATTCCCATTGGTAGATGTCAAATACACTTCAAATGTTCCCTCATTTGGTTCACAGTCAGCAGTATTCTGTACTCATTGAGGAAAGGAAGCCAATCATTTTTTTTTCTCTTTCATCCTCAAATCAGCACTGGAGAAATCACAGCCGAATGTGGTTGTTGGGGTAGGCAAAATCTGTGTCCTTTCCTCTGTTTGTGTTGTGTGCCTGTAAATAAGTGTCAATTAATTGTTACTCTATAAATATCGAACAGGTCATGTCATATTTTGAAGAGCTCTCCACATCAGTCATTTGAGAAAAACTGGTAATGACGTGGAGGACTTCTGAAAACCGCCATTCTGTGGTCCTCTGTGAACCGTGGTTTGGCATATTTGAGCCCTTGGTTTTTTACAGCCTATAAATAAATGAAAATGTACTGTACAATAAAAGGAGACTCTTCAGTTGTAGATGTCTGTAAACTATGTTCAGAATGTAGATTTCCAAACTTGTATCAAATCTCTTTTATATATGTATGTAATGTTACTCTGCTTTGTGCATAATGTAAATATATATAAACCAGTTCACCCCAGTTTATTATAGTGGAGTTGGCAACACAATGGTCTAATAGCCATTTGATAGCTATCAATTCTCTGTGTGGGAGAGAAAAATAAAATATTTTTTTTTTCATTAACATGTTCAGGTTGTGTGAATGTAATCAAATGTTAGTTTTCATGTTCTGTTTACAGATGATCCAGTTGTGTTGTGCACAATAGTCTGAACATGTGTTGTGTTATATAGTTACATTTGTGTACACAAACATACATTATTTTTCAAATTATACATAAAGTATTATGAGATGAGAATTAAACCGAGATTGTCTTGATATACAATCATGTGAAAAAGTAAGTACACCCGCATGTAAATTGTTGACATTTTCAACGTATTTGAACAGGCAAACATTAGATCATTATTAAATCCATTCCGTTCCTTCATGAATAAAAGCACTGGGGGAATTTTGTCTTTTCAATCATCTATTTAGATACAGACATCAATAGATGTAATTGTGTACTGTGGGGAACAAAATTTTTTTGCATTTGCTTAACTGCCCACCAGACTCTGACCCCTCCTCTATGCAAACTTCCTTCAGTTTTAAAAGGTTTGTTGGTTTCCTTGCATTGACTGCCCCATTTCAATACACACACGCAACAATTCAATAGGATTCAAATCGGGCTTTGACTAGGCCAGTTCACACACAACCCTCTATTTCCTCTTTTTGAGCCATTCCATGGTGGATTTGCTAGTGTGCTTCAGATCATTATGGTGTTGAAGATTCCATTTCCAGTTCAACTATGGGCAGATGGCTATCAAGCACACTTTGAAATAATGCAGAATTCCTAGTTGACTCGACTTCATGCTGACTAGGCCCTAAAGCAGCAAAGTAACCCCAAATCATAACATTTCTACCACCATTCTTCACAGTTAGTATAAGTTCTTCTGAAATGCTGTCTTTTTGGTTTGCGCTTAAAATGTCTACTGTTATGGCCAAACATCTTAATCTTTGATTCATCAGTCCACAGCATATTGCTCCAGCCTGGTCTTTGTCTATTTGTTTAATGGCAAACTGTAGACTTGTTTACATGGTTTTTTTTTTGGACAGCAAATACATTTTCTTGCCATACCTCCAGGGCCGTCTTTAATATTAAGTGGACCCTGGGCAAGATTTTGCTGATGGGCCCCCACAACCCGCCCACCTCCATTACCTGCCCCCCACTTCCTGACCCAGACCCCCCGTTCCATCTACATCACCTTCCCCCAAAACTAAAAACAATATATGTATGTGTGTATAGCAGGGATCCCAACCTGAAAGAAGCAATTTCAGGGAGGTGCCCTTCTCATTTAAGTGTTCCTCTCCTGGGCGGCCAGGAGTCGCTATCTAATAGCAGGAGACTCCCTCAGCGTCCGGGAGAGTTGGGATGTCTGGCATAGACTCAGGACTCTGCACCGCAATAAACTCAGGACTCTGCAATGCAATGGAGTCTACATTACAGATTTTTGACCCATAAGTCTATTTTATATGTAGAATGCATATGTTGAAAATGCAATGCACCATGCAGCAAGTGTTCGGGTCCATGCAATATAAATGCAATATGGATTTTACTAATTTAACCACATACTGGTACATTTATTCGGAACTATTTTTTAAATCATACAATATGATTTAAATAAAAAATCATATTGTATGATTTATAAGGTAGTACAGAACAAATGTAGCACCTCATGGTTAGATCAGTAAAATGGGTAGTGCATTTACATTGCATGCCCCAGAACAATTGCTGCATGGTGCGTTGCATTTTTAACAAATGCCTCTGTGTATATTATATGTAGAATGCATATGTTGCAAATGCAGTACACCCTGCAGCAAGTGTGCAGGGTCATGTAATGTAAAAGCAATAACAATTTTACTAATATAACCATGTATTGGTACCAGGGTCATAACTAGAAATCACAGGGCCCCATAGCAAAATTTTGTTTGGGGGCCTGTGATTTCTAGTTACACCCCTTGCAGAGTCCACCTGAGACTCCACACAGCCCACCTGAGAATGACCCTGCAGAGCCCACCATAGACTCTCTTTAGTGCACTCTGCATACTACCCAACACAAAGTGCTAACAAATGTGCAAAATACAAAGCATAACATCGTGAAAATACAGTCAGGTACATAGTAGAGGAACGTGCAACATCAGAATACAAGCACACTTACCTCAACATGGCACTCATTCAGGAAAGGAAACAATGAGGTCTCAGTAAATCAAAGTTTTGGGGTGACCCCCCCTTCCTCATGAGAGACCTGAAGTATGAACGCTGCATGAACTGCATCAAATTTGACTTGATCATTCAGCACAGAGGTTTCTTGCAATACAAGCTGAGACCGATATATTGTCTATATGCTACTGGGTTGTGCAGCAAACCAACTACATACATACATGAAAGTATACATCATACGCTATACCCAATGGCAGGCTGTAACATAACTAATCCTTGTGCTACTGTACAGCACTCCAGGCTGACGTGGCATAAATCGGTGGATATGAGTAGTGAAATCCAAGCTTGCAAATGGGAGAATGTTCATACACTCATGCGTCCCCCTTTAGGAGAGCTGGCGTGTTTGGTGGATCCTGTGTCAGTAACATTTGGGAGATACACACCTGCAGCGCTCCCAATATTGTGGAGTGAGTTTGGATTCTTTGTAACCGTTGAGTGTGTATAGCACCTACAAGAAATCTACACAAATACGATATACATAAGTATTGCATTTTATACTGAAGTCCCTAAATTGCACAAGAGGGGGAATCAAGAGGTGCTAAGCCTGATGATTGCAAAAGTTTAAATGTGAAACACGTTATGAAATATACCCTGGACACTTGATAAATGCAGACGATACTGATTTACACAAGGCAGTAACAAAATCCTGACACTTTCAAATGTGGTTGAGAAATCCAAGCAAAATTTATGTTTGATAAGAGTGTGTGTGAGTTAAATCTTATATACAGAGGAAACAAAGAGTTCCAATAGGGGGCTGGAATAAATGTTATCAGTGAGCAGGAGCTTTCTATAGTAAAGACCAGTCACTGCTGCTCTCTCTTGTTGTGCAGGAAGACTGGTCTTGCCTCAGCCCCCTCCTATTGTGTTGTACATACAATTTAACTAAATGTATCTTATTTGTGTATCACTCGGCTGTAGATCCTCAAATCATCTCTGAATTGGTGCTGACACTGTCCTTCCTTCTGGAGGGTGGCTACGTTTTTTCCCCATGGTCCCTGTGTGTGTTGTAAAGTAGCCACCACTCCAACTCCCTCCTGTTATGGACTAAAATCTAATGTTTAGTTTACTAATTTGTATTGAGATTGTAGTCCATCACGGGAGTTTTGAGTAGAGGAATATATACCTTATTCCTCACCTGGCAGGCAGAGCTCTCCTCCACTTGTGGGTGAGACCTTCATGTCCTCAGGAACAATGCGGGACAGCTGGTCTATTCATGACAGAGAGGTAGCAGTCACATGGCCAGCAAAGAGGATCAGTTCAAAAGGACCAGTCATATGGTGGGGATGAAGCCTATGGGAGCAAGTAATAAGGTAAATGTTCACAGAAAATGCACTATACTTTCTTTTTCCGTTTTTACTGGCCAGCTTTATGTAAAATTATGGTAAAGCGATTGCAGCATGCATGTATACCTTACTATCATGTCCCCAGTCTGCCAGCCTAAGGACCTGTGCTTGTAAACCCTTGTCTTTGTTAAGAAATCTGAAAAGTCAAGATGATACTTTAAATAAAACCAAACTCTGGCTAATTCTGTACCTGTCTCACACCAGGACAGGAAGTCAGAGTATATTTTCCTTATAGTGATAGATACAGCAATAAAATCCTTACACACTTCAATAGAAAAAACATCTGTTTATGTCCGTGTCTACTATGGGCAGAGTTTCCCTGTTTTCTGTCCTGTCTGAATCAGGAGAAATCTCCTAAACAAGGACCCAGACAGCACACACACTAGTGACTAGTGAGTCTGGAGCTTCCTTGGTTTCATCAAAAGTGAAAGAAAAAAAACGTTTTGGCTTGAGTTGAGTTTTAAATGCAAAAAAGGTGACTAACTTTCTCATGTACATAAATGCATATAAGGTTTCCAATCGGTGGCCTGCCTCT